GGGAAAGATCATTGTTCCCAGGGGACATCTGATAAATGCGCCTCTGCAAACGAGCATGCAAACTGACACCCAGTAACTTTAACTTGCTAATTCTGTCCTGAACAGCAAGATGTCAGTGTAAACTGGCCCCCAGGGAGCGGAGGAACTGCGGTTACCCAGGAATCTCAGCAGTGGACTGCAGGAAAGCTGGGTGCTGCTTCAACGCTTCAGTCCCCGGCGTTCCCTGGTGCTTTGCTCCTAAACCGAAGAGAGGTAATATCTCTGCCAGAAACACTGATTTACCTAGTGTCGTGTTATGCAGAAATGTGTACAAAATGGGAGCAGCTCTGCTTTTCCTCTTAGGCCAACAAGTTGGGCACAAACCTCTATTAGAAGACCACTGGTAGTAAAATGCAAAGTCAGACCTGGCTTACCCACCAGTCTTTGGCCTCATCTTCTTCACACAATATATTTCCTCTTCCTTCAGGCTTCTAGTTATCAAATAACCCATGCTGATTATTTAAAAACATTTCACTTCCATTTGTGGTCTTGTTCAACAGTAGAGCAAGGGATCCTCAGCACTTATTTAAATGGGTTTTCTATGTGGCTGAGGAGGACTTCAGCACGGTCTGTCAAAGCCCTGAGTAGATGAGTGCCTCTGTAGTTTTTTGGCACCTGTACAAAAGACCACAGACATGCTGTAACTTCTAGGTTTTTTGCTCTTTTCTCTATCCTGTTTTGATCATTGCTACTTCCTTCCTGTTCTCCAGCATAATTCCACTTGGTGGTTCTTATTTTCTCTCCCATTTTTGCTCCCGGTCTTCATTCAATGAAATCACCAAACTATCCCAGGGGAAATCCTTTTCTCCATTAGATTGTTCCTTCCAAAGCTTCTAAACTCCTGCTTCCAGTTTTTGCCTTTGTTTTCTCAGAGGGAATAGAGCTACTCTCCCAGTCCTTGAAGGACTGGGTGTATATTTTACATGACTGCTGAATGTAAGCTACATTTGCTGGGCTGGCTGTGCAACTCCTTAGGAGAACTTCAGGACAATTTCAGCAGTTGTACAGCTGGAATGAAAGGAATCGAGAGTGCAAAGACAACGTTAGCCAATAAAAGGATTTGATATGAATCAAGATTGGTCAACAGGGCTCAGAATTGTCAGAGGAAAAAAAATAATTTTGCAGTTGAACATTGTTTGCATTTCATGAGAATCTTGAAAACCAAATGGCAGCAGTTTACAGTGTTATTTTCATAGAATTGCTTTTCTGAGCAGAACTGTTTCAGGAGAGAGGAAAACTGAATTATTCAGGCCAGGTGGTATAACCTCTTTACCTGTGATTTTACTTTTAATTGCCTGGATGAGCTTTGATTTCCTGCTAATTGACCTACCTCCTTTCCGTAACTCAAGCTGGCATGCAGAGGAGGCTGGTTTTTCTTCTGCTCACGTTAGCCAGGCTGATCTGGGGTTAGCATTGGGTCAGGTCATGAATACACCCTGGTCCAAGGCCAGTGTTTGCAGTACCATTACAGGAGACAGTCGGCTCTTGACCCCATTGCTGGATCTAGGAAAGGTAAATCTGGGTTGCTGTCCACCAGGCACTTCCAGGGGCGACTTTTGCTCCCTCTGACCCTTGGGGTGCCGCAGCAATTCCTCACCCTTTGGTATTTAGCTTTGCCTAACAGGCACGGTAAGGATTTGGGTGAATCTGCTGCCTGAAGCGGGTGTGGAGAAGGTCATCATGGCTGTCACGTTCACTCACTGGCCTCACCTAGGTGGCCTGCCTTTTATTTATGAATTATGCTGCCAGGTAATCAGAGCATCAAGTAACACGGCCTCCTTCCTTCCTTCGTTTTTGCTTTATGCAGTTAGGAAAGTATGCCCCAATGACTCTTACGCCAGGATAAACTGCGGCTTCCCCGGCATCACGGCTAAGGACTGCGAAAGGAAGGGGTGTTGCTTCAGGCCACATCCCGCTGGTGTCCCCTGGTGCTTCTACCACCGCGTGGTGGAGGAAGGTAAAGTCCTGCATGAGACATCATCCCCTGTGTCCCCGTGGACGCACCACAGCACCTGGCAGGGTCCGTGCTGAGCCCGGGCTTGGTGTGCTCTGCCGGCCTGGTGTGGTGGGAGGCCACACTCGAGACTGAGCAGGATGGGGTCCCTCACCTTCCCCGTGCAGGTTTGGAGCTTCCTCACCCACAGCGTGAGTGGGGGAGAGGCAGAAAAACCCTAAAAAGACCGTGTTCTTGCACCACGGGGTGGGTGTTGCTGATGCATCTGAGCCAGGGAGCTGTGGGCAATGTGGCTGCACGGGTGCTCTGGGCTCAGGTGTGCGCTCAAACCCACAGCTAATGCGATGGTAGAGGTGCAGCTATCAAACTCACATCTATTTTATCCCGAGAGATAAAAGGCTTTGCTTTAGAAACGTGGAATGAAACTTACGGAAATTTCTGTTCCCCTACTTTTGTGTTTTTAATTGGGATTGACCTTTCAGCATATCTAACGTAGATAACCAATAGCCTCAGCCAGTTCTAACACACCCCACAGTGTATTTTTTACTCAAAACAATTCATCGTAATTTGGTTTTACTGATCTGAATCATAGTTAGGAAACACAAGTACGTATTGGGGAGGGAGGGGAAGCAAGTGCTAAAAATTTGCCTTTTTGATGTCCTGCATCTAGGCAAAACACTCCCTAGCACCTTGTGTAATTCATGGAGAAAAAATGTCCCTTAATCTGCTTCTCCTCTTTACCTCCCCAGCTTGTTAGAGAAACTTCCATGAAGAACCTTGCAATCTTTGGACCTACTCCAAGAGAAAACAGCAGCCGGAGGTCCCAACTCAGACTTTATAGTTTGCAAGAGCTATGATTTCCTGGTCATTTTTACCTTGGATTGACTGCCTTCTGATGAAAAGTTACTTGCAGCTTTTATTCCTTCAATAGGCTAGTACTGTGCAGGTTTTCACTGTAATAAAAGAACTAAGACACCATTCGTGAGTTCCCTGCTATCTTTATTTTAAAGCTGTGTGCTTCTTTGTTTCCCAGGAAATGCAGGATCTTAGCAACCTGCCGATGAGAGAGTAATCACACTTCCGAAAGGACACATGGCACTCAGCTCTTTGTGTTAGTTACACTTCAATCTTGCAAGTGACTGCTTGGATTTGTTAGCTGGTATGCGGCTTCACACAGCCACTCGCCCTTCTGAATACCGAAAATATACAGGGTTTCCCTTTATATAGCTACAGCTGTGGGGTTGTTGTTTTTTTTTTTCCCCTCGAGACATAGGGAACGGTACCTTTGTTAGCTGACCACCGAGCTGCTCTGACTCGGAGACCTCCTGCTCTCTGCATTACGGTGTCTCTGATGCTGCCAGTCCCTCAGTGCTGCTACCAGCGGGGCACGGAGCAGCTCAGGAAGGCAGGTGGCCACTGGGGACCCTGCCTAACCCAACACGGGCCCCGGCTGTCCACCCAACATGCAGCTGAAGCACTGGGCACTCTCACTGTTAACTGGTGTCTCCACAAGAGAGTCCCGTGGGTGATGCTCAGGAGAACTCTCTGCAACATTAAAAGAAAGAGCCAGGTCCCCCCCCCCGGCCCTGAACTATACCTGAAATAGAGCCTGCTGTGTCATGCCAGGTACGGGAGAAGCTCCTGGTCTCCAGGTGAGTGCGGCTGCTTGCTCCTGGGTGTCTTTAATGCTCGGCACCGCATCTTGCATGCTTCCCTGCTGTAGCTAGGTGAGAGCACAGTAAAGAGCCTCTAAGGCCACTGCTGGGAACAAAATGGGTACGAGGAGACTGCCGCAGCAGCAAGCCGCGCTCAGGGCTTAGCAGGAAAGAGCCGTTGCGCAGGGTTGTGTGGCAAGGAGAGAGAAAATGGTGTAGACACGTCCCTCCTTAGAGATTTCTCCAAGTATGCTTTTGTGGTGAGTGCGTTTATCCAAGTGGGTAAAAATTAGTCATTCATAAAACTTCATTATATCACACTTGCAATAGGCTCAATAATATGATTTGCATATGGTAGGATATCAGTTGTAATATGAGTGATAGACTGACAAGTCTTCTGAAGGCCTTTGCTGAGGAAGGTTTGATGGTATAGCCCAGGTGAATTTGGAAGGCCTAAGCACAGTGTAATCATGATAATACTGCACTGAAAGATTTGGTGCAACAACAACATTCACCAGGTAATGGGGCCTTTGTAGGCATCTCATGGGGAGAAAGAATGAAAACGCAGCCACGCTGAAATAGTAACCCCAATTAATGCTGTGGGAAATCATCTGGAGGGACTGAAATTAGGCTGCTGGAGTCAGTGTGCTTCCAGGGCAGAGCTCCCACAGGGCCACATGTACTCACCAAAAGGCTTTTCCTTCTGCAGAGGCACGTGCCGACGTGCGCAACACAGAGCGTAAGGGGGCACGTGGGTATTTCGCAGGGACAGGCTCAGATGGATAACCACTTACCACTCTTGTCTCACCCTCTCAGATCTCTCCATCGGGGCTGTGCCAGTGAGGCAGGCGCAGGCCTGCTGACTTTCCCCCACCACAGCATACTGGGTTTGGCTTCGTAAGAAAAATTATAAACACAAATGTCTTAGCACTGTGGGGTCCTCTGTTGCAAAACCTGACCAGGAAACTCAACCTGGCAAGTCACAGCAGCCAAAACTCCTGGGAACTGCTCCAGCCCTTCTGTTGAAATGGTCTGCACGTTGGCATAGAGAAAAAACAGCAGCGATGGTGTGGGAAAGCTACGCTGACAGCAGTCTAACCCCAAAGGGATGAAGCATGAAGGGCTGAACATGCTCACTTGCTGTCCCTGGGCATGGTGTCCCCTGCAAAAACCACTAACTGCTGTGTGCTGACCAGCAAACCATTCCCAACAGCATGCTAAGCCAAGGCACTGGGTGATGCAGTTGCTCTGGACACTTGAGGTTACAAATCAGAGTTAGTTCTGATAGCACAAGGAATTATGACCTAAGGATCTGTCGTCATCAGTAAGACCTAAGGGACAATGGTTATTCTGGAAATTTACATTAAGTAAAGGCTTGAGGTCTCTCTATGTAGACTGCTGTCCACACCCACCCAAATACACTTGAAAAAACTGCCTAGAATTCTTAAAATTAAGATTTTTGGTGAGAAAACAGGCTGGCAAAAACAGAATAAAAGCCACAGCTGCTGAGGATTTGAAGATGGCAGGCAGAGCCAAGGTAGAGCAAAGTGAGATGCACACCAAGGAGGGGTGTGCAGGACCTGCAGACATGTGACTACAGAAGAAGGAACTTTCCTCTCCTCACCTTCAGGGCTGCTCTGTGGGCTCCCCACACCTGAGCCAGTCACCACGGGCCCCGTTCGCAGCCCTCAGAGAGAAAAAAACACCTCTGGGCTGGAAATCATCTGGTTAGTTCAGATGTCCCCCATAGAGCGAATTGAACTGCCCAGAAAGGCCTGTCTTCTCCCCCAGCTCCAAAGGGTGCCTACACAAGCAGCTGTATGTGTCTGCTCTCCTTCCTTGGGTTTCCCCATCAGCGCCTCTTGATGCTGGAGAGAGATGCTCAAGGGACAAGAGAGCGAGAGCGAGATGGGGAGCATCACTGCCCTGGCACAGATCTCTGACTTGATGCTAGGTGTCCTAGCCGAGCTGGTGGCAGAGGCCCAAGAAATGGGAATGGAGGCGTCCTGGCTGCTGGTAATTGATTGCATTTTGGACCTCACAGCCTGGCCAGCAGATAGACACAAGTAAATATGCGCAGTTCATTCATTTGTTTTGCGTCAATAGATTGACAAGCTTCACTAGCTAATGCAATTGAAATGGCTTCACGTTATTGGATTGTGTAAAGTCTGTCCTTTTCTGTCCCTTCTTCATCTTTCTCTTTTTTTTTTTCCCCATTCTTTTTGCTTGTATGGAGCTCTGCCCAGCACTAGAAAGAGAAATTTAAACAGAAACTTTAAAACTGCTTTTAGCATTTCAGGCTGGTTACTTTACCCAATTAATCCACATAATGGAAAGAAATCCGAGTGCACCCACAACGCCTTGAGACTGATGGGTGGCCACACTGGGTCATTTCAGAGGTTTGTCTAGTCCTCTGTCCCTCAGTGACCAAAAGGGCTGTCTAGGGAGAGGTGCAGGATAAGCACACAACGAGGCTTCCCTTCTAACAAAATGCAGAACTGTCACAAATGTGAATCGGTTTTAACAAGGAAAGATGAGAAGCACAAGGGAAGACTTAACCTTTGTATCTTTGCAGCTCTGCTTGCACACCTACATCACTGCACAGCCAGTCCTGAACAAGTAAATAAAATTCTGAATACTTTTTCGGGGAGGGGTGGGAGGGTCGGGAGGTGGGGGGAGAGGAAAGTAGGTCAGCTACATGATTTTCGTCAGCAAAGGTGCTACCATAACAAGAATCAATTCTCCATGACACAAAGCATTTGTGCTGATGAAGCTATTGCGCAGATTGTGAATGACGTTTAAAATCACGAATGCCTGGTAGTCCTAAACTGTCTGTAATCATGACAGCTGTGTGCAACCAATGCTTCAGCTTCTAATAAGGCCGAACAGAAAATGTTTGACATTGCAGATTGATTGCCTGTGTGGTTCTTCAGTGAGTGAGGATATTCTACTGGGTTTTTTTTAAGCAATTGTAGCCAAAGAAAAGGTCTCAGAAATCATTCATTTTGAAGCAATGCAGGAAAGCTGAATTTGGCTGACAAGGAGAATTAACAGGGGAGAAAAGTAGGACAGAGAAGGAGCTCAGAGCAGATGGGTGCTAGCAACAAAGAACAAACCTGTAGCAATCCGAAAAAGGGATATAACTGAAAACACCTCCAAAAATGTGTATTTTAATGTGCCCGCTTACTTCAGATCACATTTCCAAATGTCTCTGGAAAGGGCATGCTTCCTGCTGCAGCTAGTATCACACACCTCCTCTGGCAAAGCTCCCATTCAAAAGGAAGGTTTCAGACAAGGTGCTAAACCCAAGTGAAAAAGAATACAGAAACTGAAATCTTCCTCTGTTGAGAGGAGCTAAATCGCACAGTTCAGCCACAAGCCCCTAACGAGCTACTGGTTTAATGAAAGCTTGAAAACTTGACCATGATGCCATGAAACAGCTTGGAAAGCAGAAGGTAAAACACAAGAACCAAATCTGTTTCCCTGCATTAAAACCAGGCAGAATGATGATCTCAAGACGCAGATTCAGTTTGCAGGAGGCTGCCCTTGCTGCCAGGCTGAGTCCAAAAATGGGCACTCACTGCTCCGAGGTGTGGGTTGCAAAACCTTCCTTATGAGCAAAGTTGAGGTGAGAGTTTCAACTCTCAGGTGAGAGTTTGCAAAGCAGCTCTCTACCAGAAACAAAAGTCCTCTTTGGGCAGAACAGTCCATTATTACTCTGTAGAGCTTTCTGCCCCCCCCCCTCCCCCCGTCTGAACCTTCTTCTAAAGCATTTGAAATCTGCCACTGTCAGTACAAAGAACAGTGAGCTGCCCGACTACCTAAGACAGCGTGCATGGTCCCTGTCCCAGTATGCTCCACCAGGTACGCAATGGGAGGATGAGACTACAAACGTGTCCTCAGTACCAGAAAACAATGGCCAAACAGACAGACTTTGCTTGAAAATGTGTGCTGCAATGCGTAATACATTCAAGTGCTTGAACTGACTGGTAGCGCTCCCAGATGCTACAGAAGAGGATGCTGTTTGTTGAAGTGTTTGCAGTCATTCAGTGCTACTCCCCCCGCTAGTGAACGGTAAAAGTTCCGTGTGCCCATCAGAGGTGAGCAGGGTAGAAAAACAAAGCACTTTTCTGCTGGAGACTACTGTATCTATTCATCCAGCTATAATAACTTCTTGTGCTTTGTAAGCACCCTTCATATATGCACAGTGGTACCCAGAAGTTCCCCTCAGAGCTGACACCAGATGGGCTCTTTCAGGGTGTTGTTCCCACCTGTGTCTGAGTTAGGTCTCCCAGGCTTCCTTCCGTCTTTGAGCAAAACCAACAAAAGGTTGTTTTGGAAAACAGAAGTTTGGAGGGATTTCATACTGAAATACCACAATTGAAATGAAACTCT